ATTGTTCTAACTGTCAGGAAATTTCTCCTCGGTTCTAAGTTGCTTCTCTCCTTGATTAGTTTCCACCCATTGCTTCTTGTTCTACCCTCAGGTGCGAGATCATATGAGAGATCATAGGTGATCTCTCCCAGCCTGTATGTTCTCATTGAACTAAAAGAAAATTCTTCTTCAGTGGAAGGCAGAAAATTTCAAATTAATATTGGGGAATGCAGCGGGGATCATATACCTAAATCTATACTGTTAAAAGAATGAAAACACAGTCAACCTGCAAGTTCTGCCCTTTTGGGATATGTATGTGTTTGTGTATGACAGCCCATACAAAAAGGGTAGGGTTTGCACCACAATAGCGTAACAATGCTTTGGTACACCTAATCATTTCACACACATTCAATCCCTGCAAACCACACTAGCAAAAGTTCATCCCGACTTTTCTTTTCCTGAAAAATCATGCATTTGTTCATGTAACATGTAGCTTAGCCCTAAGTAGTTTCCCACGTTAGGACTCGAATATAATGCAATTGCTTTGCTGGATTCTAAGTATCATGGTATTATCAGTTTGGTTGTTGGACCAAAACATCCTGTTCCATGGCAAGCAAATGATTGGGACTGCAATTTTTACAGCGATTTGTTGACCGAATTTCATTTCTAAGTTTTGCTGTTGGTAACGTTGGCATGTATTCACCATGGTTGGCCTACAGGGTGAAAAGAAGATGCTGGCTTTGGGAATAACTGGTCCAGAGGGACATGAAATGGCCCGACCAGAAGAAGTGGAAGCAGAAGCCACGTTGAGAGCTATTACCATTGCAAATTCAGTAAATTGCCCTCTCTATATTGTACATGTGATGAGTAAGTCTGCAGCCAAGATAGTGGCAGATGCCCGCAGGCAAGGTAAGTACTTGCTAAACGTGCTTGGTTAGACCTGGGGCTCCAATATGATTCTACAGTCATCTCCATTGGAGGTTGCTTAGTTGATTGTCCTATCCAGTTTTAATTCCTCCATCCAGAGCCAAGGTGGCGCAGTGGTTAGGGTTCAGTACTGCAAGCCACTTCAGCTGACTGCTAACTGCAGTTCGGCAGTTCAAATCTCACCGGCTCAGGGTTGACTCAGCCTTCCATCCTTCCGAGGTGGGTAAAATGAGGACCCGGATTGTTGGGAGCAATATGCTGACTCTGTAAACCGCTTAGAGAGGGCTGAAAGCCCTATGAAGCGGTATATAAGTCGAACTGCTATTCCTATTGCTATCCTGCCCCCATTCCTTACAGTGTCTTTAATTAAACAAAAAAAAATGGGCAAGTTGCAAAGCGAAATCCCAACTATTTACCCTTACCTTTATTTAGAAAAATGTCCTCAGCTTCCACATAAGACCTGCAGGTATTCTTATGAAATGAAAATTAGAAGTTCTTGTGTTTGTATTTTTTTTTTCTGTAAACGTACCAGTGGGATGGGGAATGTAGAAGTAAACTCTAGAAGGGGATGCATCCTGTAGGACTAAAAACCCTTGTGGAGAACCACTTCACCATTTTATCCTCATTTTATCCCTCACTGGCAGCCATTTTGTCTGAGTTTACAGAATATGCTCTCAGGCATGTCTTAGATTTATATTTAGGAGCTCAAGTTCTTGTATTAAAAGCTTGAGAAGATTTGGAGTCCGGTTTACATGAAGATATGACTATGAAACATTGCATTTCCTTATAGATGAATCTGCAAAGCTCTCTGTGATTAATCTTTCAGCTTAAATGGAGTCTGTCTCTGGGCTTAAAGAACATTTCTACTTTCTTCTGCAGTCTAGGCTTCAGTTCTTTTCCCTGTAACTAATCAATATTTAATTAACCTAAATATAAGGCTGAGCTGAGTCCCTTTTCCCCTTATTATTAGGCTGGTTTCATTGTCCCTGAGATGTCCACAAGATGTCACTGTTGACAATGCAATGAATTTATTTTGCAGTTGGAATAGCTATCTTTGGTGGGAATTGAGGTGTTTTCAGAATCAAGTGTAATAAACTGTATAATCAGCTAAAATATGTAGGTCAGAGCAAAATTTCCCAAGGCTATCCAGAAGCTTCCAAACTGTAAGGATTAGAGTGTTTGTGCTTCATCATGTACATATATACATTCAGTCTTTCTCAACCCTGGCAAATTTAAGATGTGTGGACTTCAACTCATAGTATTGGTTGAGAAACATTGTAATACAGAACTCACCTGCAAAAATTACATACATACATACATACACATACATACATACTACATACATACATATCACATTCTACTCCTCCTCCCTACCTGAAAAGAAATCTGTTTCAACTGCCACTTGGGTGTGGTCATGGCCAGCGTGTGACTCATCCGGCCTGCAGGCTGGGAATTTAGACATTCTACTCCCCCTCCCCACCTGAGCAGGGGAGAAGGGGATAATATAGAAGAGGTTTCTGTGGTGCAAGCCTGAGGGAGAGATGGGGATAGGAGAAGATCAGTGGGGCAAGCCTGAGGGAGAGAAGGAGAATAGGAGAGGAGAGGCTTCGGTGGGACAAGCCTGAGGGAGAGAAAGGGAGAGGAGAGGCTGATCGTAACTACTCACTAATGTTCAAGCTTTAATCGTCAATTTATCAAGCCTGATCACATAGTTCTGTAGCGAAGCACAGGTATCCAACCGACTAGTTCAGTGTATTTTATCATTTTTACACATTATAGATCCTGTTTCTTCAGATAATATTCTTGTAGGAAGATGATCTAACAACTGGAGAACAAAATCAGAGTGAATAATGTGGTGACTACATAGATATTTCGATGTCTTAACTATAAAGAAGATTCGCTATTGCCTTTTCCCAGAATGATTTTAAGATGACTAAGTCTGACCACACTAGACAACTCTTAACCATGTCTGCTATTGAATAACTTTTTTGAGCTGGGACCAGACAGGTTTAAAGGTATTGTTCATCACCCCTATTCAGCTATGTATGAGTTTTTGCCAGGCGAAATATATTTAATGTACATCTCTTAACATTCATCTGATCATATAAATGTACATTTGTATAAATTCTTGTCTGAGATTATGTCATTACTCTACTTCATTTATTTTGAAGTCAACATTATAGGGCTCTTAATCAATTAAGCCAATGGTTCCCAACCTTCCACTTAATGTGAATCATCAATCATCATCACATGTTTTTGCAGACACCACATAAACACATTTGGCTGAGAGGAGTCAGACTTGTACATTAAGAAGCAATAAACTGCAGCTATTTCTAAGCATTTATTATGGCCACTTGCAAACATTGTATTCAGTGCAGTACATTCACTACTGCAGTTTCTAGGAAAAATTGCATTGAGATTCAGATAACCTCGGGCATTGGCAACTCCACTAGATGATCCAGAGCAGGAAATCAACTGCACAGAAAGGCTAAAACTACGTTTATTGGCTATAATAACAGAATCTTGCTAGTCCGATTATAGCAATAACATTTAGACTTATATACCGCTTCATAGTGCTTTAGAGCACTTTCTAAGTGGTTTACAGAGTCAGCATATTCTGCCCAACAACCTGGCTCCTTATTTTACTGACCTCAGAAGGATGGAAGGATGGATGAGTCGGTCAAGATTGAATTCCTGGCAATAGGCAGAGTTAGCCTGCAATAATACTGCATTATAATCACTGCACTACCACAGTTCCTACACTGTGTTATTCTTCTTCCTCTATTTAACAGTACAGGGAATTAAGGAGGCATCTGCATTGATTGCTTCTGAATGTTATCTCACTGTTCTGGATTTTAAATATGTTTCAGTCCCTTTTGTGCAGGTAATGATTCTGCACATCTCCATCCAGATCACTTTCCTTACTATCTATGATGCATGGGAAGCCCATTGGATGCTGTTCTTATTGCCTACCCATCTCAAATCATTTGCAGTAGCCCTGCCAGTTATCCTCATTTGGCAATGGTTGAACTAGCCATCTAATGGGAAACAATAGGAGGAATCTCTGTTTTAGGATAAAAGCTGCAGATGGCAAGTTTATAAAATCTTACATTCAGGTTTTCAAGTTCTATGAAATCTCACCTGTAGCTACTTTTCTTCTTCCTGGTGGCGCAGTGGTTAGGGTACAGTACTGCAGGCCACTTCAGCTGACTGTTATCTGCAGTTCAGCGGTTAAAATCTCACCAGCTCAAGGTTGACTCAGCCTTCCATCCTTCCGAGGTGGGTGAAATGAGGACCCAGACTGTGGGGGCGATATGCTGACTCTGTAA